CGCCGAACAGAGGGAGACAGCGGACTTAAATACACAGAAGGGTGATGAGGGAAACACCTGGGAAACACAGCTGGCACAAATGAACCTGATGCCACAAGGGAAGTAAAACTAAACATGCTGAACATGGAAACACAGGACTTTCAAAATAAAACAGGAAACATTATGAAACGTAGACATGACAACACAAGCTTGACAGTAGAACATGGAAACACGCAGACATGACAGACTGGGGAGAAACACAAGGAGAGACATGGGGACAGATAAGGGAGACAACAGCATAATTAAACATTAAACACAGAGGACACGAGAGACTTACACAGAAGACAGGAAAAGACTCATAAACATGAGACATGGAAGAAACACAAACTAGAATAAATCGCTTGAATAAACCCTAACTAAATAACACAAAAACTTAACATTAAAGCAATCTAACATAAGAAAAACAAAAATACAAAATAAACTCAAAACACCAGGTTATAGACCCAACCCCTGAAAAATGAAGACAAACGCTAACACTGATGTAGCTTCACACAGAGACAGTATTAGCCAGCTAGCTGCTATCTTGGGTATTAAGTACTCTGTTAGCCAACATTAGCCAGAACAAAGACAGTTTTCTCAAACAAAGACCATCAGATTTGATTTTTGTGAACATTTGATTCGTGAAGGAGTTCTTTGATTTGGAGGTTCAAATCCAACCCTCAGCTAATGTTAGCTAGCAGTTGCATGCATGCTAACATGGACAGATTGAGTATCATGCGTCTGAGAAGCTCGATTCATTTTAAAAGACTTTAAACTGGCAGACCTCCAAATGTTCGGTTATCTTTTAGAAGACCCCAGCTGGTTTTTACCATCAGCTCTGTAAGGCCCTCCAGCTCCGTCTCTCTGTGCTCTGATTGGTCAGAGCGGCATGGACTCGTGACTCAGCTCTGACTCACAGCGTTGACCTCTGGCCGACTGAGTCAGGAGGTTCAGAGACCCTCGTTTACATTTAACGGTGGTGCGAGTGAACGTACGTCAGACGTCTGAGATCTTCGTCGTTAGAACACGTCTGCATGCCCTCTCCTGCCTCACAGCAATGACCCTGTTTCAGATGTTTACAGTTACAGGGCATTATTAAAACTGTAGATATCTGAAGGCTCAAGAGGCAGCTGGGAGGATGAGGAAGGCCTGCTTCAGAGGTAGAGAAGGACATCCTCAGGTTAGAAGTTGTCGTAGTCTTGATTTAATACATTCTGAATGGGCTGCAGGGTTCGCATCACTGCTTTTCTACTATTGTTTCACAGATTTCCCTGAAAACCACATTTAATGCAGCTCCTCCCTGACTTTTTATATTTTTCATCCTTTTTCTTTTGTTCATGCTTTTAAAATATACAAACTCCACTTTGGACAGTGGTTACTGAAAAAGTTCAGAAGTAGATTTGTGAAGTAGTCAGACTCGAACGTCAAGGAAGGTGGTAGGAAAGCAGACTAGCAGACATTTCAGGTTTCCAGAGGTGAGCAATTTATTTACAGTGAACTCAATTTAATGTGCAACTTAACAAAACTTCCCCCCAAAGTAACTTAATTAACAAAACTCAACAGACCATGGCTCTGTTAACACAGCTCACCTCTCCTCTCTCATCTGAGTCTGGTAGAGACTGGCTTTAAATAGGGCCATCAATTTCCAGCCAGTACCCCTCACTCACACTGAGGGATCTAAAACTCTACACAGATGATTAAAAAAGACACAAAACCTCACACTTCTAATATTCACGTTTACACAACTAAATGGCAGTATTAATGAAAAGAAAAAGATTCAACAAATCCCTTCAGACCTGGACACAAACAAAAGGAAGCATCTCCACTTGGTTTGACCTGCTGATGTCATGTGTGACATCATCAGGACTTTAAAATGAGGAAATGCTAAGCAGGCGTTTCCCCACACCTGACCCACGTGAAGACTGAGAAGACAGAACAAAGTATGAACAAATGACTTAATCTGTAACACAATAAAATATAAAGAAGCGTGTAACTGAGTATTTACCTTAATTTGCCGAATGTTTAATTTGCCGGCAACAGAACACTTCCGCAAACAAACCCGGGATAGTGAGTGCAGCAATGTTACATGACAAATAGCAAATCATAGCAAATACATAGAAACAGAATAATGTGTATAATGTGCAAATAAAAGGTAAACACATATGGGACAAATGGAGAGCATTGCAGCTGCTCATCCACTTTGTCACAAGATTAAAATATCAAAAGATGTAAAATTTTAAGAGAAGCAACAAAACAGCTTTAAATCCAAATGAAAGCTGGACGACCAGCAAAGTTCATGAAGGAGTCGGTGAGCTCAGATCATTTCTGTAGCACATTTAAACACAGCTGACGTAAAAGCAATCTAACAATTAAATATATGGTTAGTATAAAAGAAGTAACAATGATAAAGAATAAAAATAATAATAAAAGACACAGTGAGAAGGAAAAGCTACTGAGGGGAAGAAGAACCTTTAAAAGCATTCAAACATTCTGATCAGCTTTTATTTTGAAATTATTTTCCAACAAAGGCTCAAGGTAGAGGAAGCAAACCGCAAACTGTCTGCTTCAGAAATCTGGAGACATCAGCAGCCACAGCGAGGGATTTGGCGATGGCCGAGCCACACCAGTGTCCCGCTGGCCGCTGTGCAGGGCTGGACTGGGACAGAAAATCGGCCCAGGCATTTTGACTAGAGACCGGCCCCCCAGGTATTACAGGAAAAGCCTTTGAATGAAAACAAACGCTGTTGTGACAGTGATGTACTGTCTTGTTGGTATATGTATGATTTCTATACGTTGTACATCAGATAAAAGATTCAAATAATTATTTGTTAAAAGCAGTTTAAATGAGAATAAGAAAGTATTTCTTTGTGCCCCCCTCTCCCTGTTAATGCCCTACATGCCCCCCTGGCAGCACTTTGCTAGACCCGCCCCTGCACAGTTACCAGCTGTCAGCTGCTTAGAAAAGGATCCTGGTGTTATTTGTCTCTCAGAAACAGTTCATAACTTCAACTCATCCATGTCACCTAAAAGGTAAACCTGTTTCTCCATCACAGCTCTGATGATTCAGTAAGGACATCTCCTGGTTTCATCTTCATGTTTCCCTCTCACCACATATCCAAACCGACATCATGACCAGCAGCTTTACAGCTGTGGCTCCAGCAAACATCAGCTGATACTAGAAATTAATATTAAATAAATTCTAACAACAGCTGATCAAGCTTAAACGTGCTGCTGTTGTTTAGCTCGACATCCCCTGGTTTCCTCTTTCTGGCGCAAAGTGGGCGATAAACAAACAAGAGAGCCGATCAGCTGATCATTGATCAGTTTCATGATTGAAGTAGAAACAGGAGAGGGAGGGGGAGAGAATGAGAGAAGAAGAGGCAGCTGTGCAGCAAAGACACAGAATAACTCCAGCTTTGTGCCTTTTTCATTGTAGCTGAAGTCCGGGACAAACTGCTCCTTTTCACCTCAATAAGAAACGCGTAATATTTTCTCTGAATGAAATACGAGACAATTCCGTTTTTTAGGGAACGGTTGGCAACTCTACTAACTAACCTTATGAGTAAAATAAAGTTCACTATCATAGCATTTGCCCAGTATGCCCGATGGCCAGTCCAGCTATGCCGCTGTGATGTCACCTCACTTCAAGTCAAATTTTGAAGCATGGATGTGAATATTCTGGCCGATGCCGCCTCGGTGCTTTGAGGCTGTGGCGAGTGAGGGCTCGCTGTGGAACGACACCCTCATTGCCTGCAGTCACCCATCAGTGAGCGTATCCTGGGTAATCTTCCAATGATTTGTACAGATGACTTTTATTTTCATTCACTGTGACCCGACATGAGTGACTGAGCCCAGAAACTGATCAGCAGTGTTACTGAGGTCAGGCTGATTCAATAATGGGTCACACTGTTCACCTGCGGGGCGGGCGAGACGGCAAGGTGAATCTGTGATGACACCAGAGTCCTTTTACCATCATGTCAAACAGACCTCCCTCCTCCTCCTCTCCGATCACACAAAGAGCTCCTTTTTCCCGTCGAGCACCGAACATTTAAATAACGATTTGACAAGTGAGGATGAGGAGGGGGTGAAAGGAGTGTGGTAATGGAGGTGGGTGGGGGCTGGTGGTGCTTCTCCCGGGCGCTGAGCCAGCCCGTCGGAGATCCAGATCCATCTCCACCATTAAAACTCCATTTAGGAGACCGAGGACTCGTTTATCACGCCCCCCTGAAAGCTCACATCTCCACGCTCAGACCTCATATTGCACTGAACACACACTGGACACTTTATTAGGTACACCTTTGTCTTTCACGCATCAGATTCAACAGGCTGCTGGAAACGTTCCTCCATGTTGACATCATCATGATATCATCACATGACCGCCTCATCCATGATGGGAATCGGCTGTCCCTCCACATCCCAAAGCTGAGATCTGTGACAGTGGAGCTGTGCGCTCAGAGATGCTCTTTTGCAGACCTTCCTTGTAAAACGTACTTATTTGACTTCCTGTTTCCTTCTTATCGGATGCTCAGCGCGCGGCTTGTCTTCACCATACAAGCTTAAATGCCGCTGTTGCCACGTGATTGGCTGTTTGGGTTAATGAGCAGGTGAAAAGTTAACAAAGCGGCTGGTGAGTGTGTCTCATTTGAATTGTTAATAATGTGTGAAATCTTCACCAAAGTTTAATGAACTGTTTGCATGTGGATGTTCGTTCATGTGTTAATGAACACGTGATGATCCAACAGGAACGTTCCTGTGCTCTCTTACCCTGCTGTGATTTACATGTATGACCCCCCCTTCTTGAACCTGATTCACCTGAATTCAAGCACACCTCCTCCCTCCCCTCCTCCCTGCCTCTGCTGCGGACGGGGGAGGAGGGGGAGCAGGTAGGGAGGGCGGGGAGGGAACTGCGCCTGCGCCCAGTCTCTCCATTCCCTCCGCATCGCCCCCACCCCTCTCCTCCCTCCCTCCCTCCCTCCTCTCTCTTTTCTGCAGCATCAGTACCACCTCCCCCGTGCCTCCTCCCCCTCTCTCTCTCGCTCGGTTTTCCTGCCGGGCTGCTGCTTTGCGCGCTGCGGGGCCACACTGCGACCACACCGAGGAGGAAGAAGAGAAAGCCGCGGACCGACGGGGGGGCCAGCCGAGGCAGAGCGGCGGACATTAAAAAAAAAACCGAATAAGAAGAAGGACGCGGGAGGAAGAAGGAGGCGCGGACAGCGAGCCCGAGGAGCAGAAGCAGAAGGCGGAGACGCGTTCCTCCCTCCATCTCTGCCTCCGTGAAGAAGAGCCGAGAGGAGCAGCAGCAGGAGGACCGCGAGGACCTCGCAGCGGAGAAAACGACGAACGACGCGGAGCCGGAAGCCTCCCCCCCTCCCCCCTGGACCAGGGACGATTCTCCGTTTGTAGCAGCGGCGCGGCGACACGATGAAGGACCGCACGGCGGAACTGCGAAGCGTAAGCTCTCCTCCTCCGTCTCCTCTTCCCTGTCGGCCTCCATCATGTTCGCACATCCTCCTCCTGCGGCCTCCGGAGGAGCGGGGGGAGGGGGAGGGGGTCTGTGGCTCTGCGGAGCTTCATGCTGTGAATACAGAGCGCGAGGACGGACCGTTACTGTCGGCTTGAGCGCGTGCTCCGTGCGCGTGCGTGAGTGGAGGTCACGGCTGCGGCCGGACACTTTCCCGCTTTTTTTATTTCTGCTGTTTTTTGGGGTTTTGTGGCGCTAACATCAAAGGCCGCCGCAGAGCCCCCCCGTGCATGATGGGAAAACGGCTTCAACACGCGCCCATCCGCGCGCATTCAGGCCGCGCGTGCCTGTGTGACCTGATGGGGGGAAGGGGGGGGTCCAAAATGCAGAGATTTTTTTTTTCCAGGCCGCATCCAGGAGCTGCGCGCGCCTCCTCCCCGACGGAGCCGCGTGAGTGTGGGGCCACCGTCAGAAGGGAGGGATCGGGGGGGGGGGGGGGGGGGGTCACGGTCCTGTGCGGCTTTGACGCGGGTGCGGAATGCGGAGAGATGCGGCGTTTATGCGGCCGCCGCGAGCGAACAGCTGATGCTGGGTGGTGGTGGGAGGGAGGGGAGGGGGGGATGTCACATCAGCGAGTCAAACTCTGCAGCACCTCCACGCGCCTCCCGCCGCCTTGGGTTCAGCCGGGTTCGCGTGAGGCGGAGCACAGCTGCACGCGCACATTCGTACACGCATCGATCCGCCATCAGCGCGTGTCACCGATTATTGATCGACCCTGGGATGTTTTTATGAATGAATCCTCATTTGTTGCGGTTTCTTCACCTCCATCTTTCTCCTCCACCTCCCTGTGTTTCTGGGAGGAGCCTGATCAATAATACGTGATCAATAAATCAGCAGCTGAATGCTGTATGTGTGTTGAGGTGATTTGCATTGAAAAAGTGAGGGGCTCAGCAGCGCCTGAGTTTACCGCACTGCTGTCCGTCCACCCCCCTGCCTCCTTTTCCTCCTCTCTGCCTCCTTTTCCTCCTCTTTTCCTCCTCTCAACCTCCTCTCTGCCTCCTTTTCCTCCTCGCTGCCTCCTCTCTGCCTCCGTTTCCTCCTCTTTTCCTCCTCTCTTCCTCCTCTCTGCCTCCTTTTCATCCTCGCTGCCTCCTGTGAGGCTGTACCTGACTGGTGTGGCTGTTTACACCTGAGTGTGGGTCAGCTGCTGGTGGGCTGTGCTAATGTTAGCTTGTGTTGCTGCTCTTATTGTTGCTCTGTAGGTGAGACACACTCGCCTGTTTATTTCTGTGAATAACTCACCGAATGACAAAAAAACTTCCTGAATCTTGAATCAGTCATCCGCCCTTCTCTCATTCTCTCCTCATCCCTCCATCTTCACCTCTTTTCCTCCACCGATCCTTCCTTTAACGTGTATTACCTCGATCACTTCTTCTCTGGCCCTTTTGCTTCTTATTTCCTTATCTCCTCCCTTCCTACACCTTCCTAGCTTCCTCTCTTCTCTCTTTTATTGTCCTTTCTCCCTCTGTCAGTCTGCCTCCTGCTTCCTGATCAAAAAGAAAATCAGTGATTGGAACTTGAGAGCAGCTGAACAGACACAGATTTGACTCTTTCCTCAGACAGAAAGACTAAAATCAGCTAAATTTCACTGAATTATCAGAAAATCGTTGAACTGTTTCCTGCTGTGTGAACAAAGAGACTCACCTGATGTAAAGAGGACGATTCTGCCTGATAGATGAGCTCAGACTTTACAATGAGCCGCTCGGTCTGCTAAAACTGGTCCCAACCCCAAGTCCTGGACTCACCAGAGCCTCTGATGTGTCACCAGAAAACGGATCTGCTGTGAAGTCGTTTCTGGAACTTTTCTTTTGGTGAAATCACTGCGAATCATTCTTGTGTCAGACTTAACTTTATAAAATGAAATGTGATGAATAAAAACTAAGAATAATAAAAGTTAGCAGGACAAAGATGAATGAGGTCGTCTACTGTGGACACCTGCCAGCTGACCAGTTGGCAGGCGGTTGCTGGTAGTTTTCAGGTGAAAGTGGTCGAAAGATGGTTGCTTTGGTTTCTAGCAGGTTTCCATGGTCGCCCATAATTTGCATGGAAGACGCCGATTTGTCTGCAAACACTCGCCAACTTCTCTTCAAGCAGAAGAGTCACAAACTGGAAATGGAGACCAGTCACCTCCAAAGTAAAAGTTGCACCTTTTTGCACTAGTTAAGCACAACTTTTACTCTGAAAGAACACAGTCTTGTGTCGCCCTCTCTCCGGTCTCACGGCTCGCTCGTTAGAAAGACGCTAACGTGGAGATGAGTTGCCTTCTTCAATGTATCTAAGTGCAACTCTGCCAACCTGCTGGTGACCAAAGCAATCACACAGAGGTTTTTGGTGCCCCCATCTTTTGCGACCAATCTCACGCAGTGACAGCCAGCACGTTTCCCTAGCAACCGATGGTTGATAGGCGGCCTGGGTGATGAGGGTCAAGCTTGTCACCTCCCTGCTCTTATGTGAACGCTTCAGTGCTTGATGTTGGTGTTCTTCATGTTTGTGGGCGTATCTCTGCTACCTTCATGGTCACGGTGTTGGTAACTAACCACCACGAGGCAAGCTAGTCGTGCTTCAATTAGCAGTTAGCAAAGCTAGCTGCCTGTGAGTAACTGTGTTCTGAAACACAGTGATTGTTCCCCGCAGCGATTCCCACATTTTGAGCAGGTCACGCTGCCCGCTCGCTCTCTTGGCTTTGGTAACGTGATTTCATTGGCTGACGGCTGTATGGGAGCGTTTGACTCGATGTGACTTGGCTGATGCTTTTGCTTCAACAATTGAAATAATAATAATAATAATAATAAACTTTATTTATAAAGCACACTAAAAAACCAAGGGTATACCAAGGTGCTTGACAAAAATAAAACAGGAAAAGGGAGAAGGGAGGGAAAAGAGAAAGGACCTGGCACGTATCAATTATAAAAACCTTGACAATCATAAGATATAAAAGTAGTTCACAAGCATAACGGATAAAAATGTACCAACGCACACCAAGTGTTAACTAGGTGGAAAGGCAAGATTATACAAATAAGTCTTCAGCCGTGATTTAAACAGTGGCATAGAGTCAGACGCCCGGATAGCGACAGGAAGGTTGTTCCATAAGACCGGGGCAGCTACAGCAAACGCGCGGTCACCGCGAGACTTCAGCCGAGAACGAGGTTGCTCCAGAAGAATTTGGGTAGCAGATCTAAGTGCTCTGACAGGAGTGTGTAACCTGAGAAGCTCATTGAGGTAGCTCGGCGCCAAGTTATTAATGGTTTTGTAGGTGAAAAGTAGTATTTTCAATTGAATGCGGTATTTAATTGGAAGCCAGTGCAAGCCAGCGAGAACAGGAGTGATGGAAGAAAACTTCCTGCTACCTGTCAAAAGGCGTGCCGCCGCATTCTGGACAGTCTGCAATCTAACGAGAAGGGTGGAGGAAAGGCCAGTGTAAAGAGTTGCAGTAGTCCAACCTGGAAGTCACGAATGCGTGAATGCGTTTTTCCAGGTCAGTGTGCGGAATATAGCGCTTAGCCTTAGAAATGAGGCGCAGCTGATTAAAACTAGACCTCACAACAGCAGACACTTGCTTGTCAAATTTAAGCGAGCTATCCAGTAGTGCCCAAATTACTGGCATAATCAGAAGGAGAGCTAGCAAAAGGCATCAGAGCAGCGCACAGTTGGTCGCGGGGGATTTTACTATCAAACACCACGATCTCCGTTTTCATTTCGTTCAGGACAAGAGAATTACTCTTGAACCAACCTTTAACCTCACGCATGCATTCACGAAAATAGTGAAAAGACATAGCAAGATCGTCAGTAATCTCAAAATAAATCTGTATATCATCAGCATAGCAATGAAAGGCAATATTATACTTCTCAAAAATTGCTCCAAGAGGGAGCAGATATAGCGAAATTCTTTCAAATTTCAGTGCAAACAATTTCGAGCAAAGCGAAACACTTCTGCACGTCGCCTTGCTCAAAGCCAACGGGAACACCGAACGCCACCTTTTCTCACCGCACACGGAGCAGAGCAGGTGGAGACCGGAGGACCGAAATAACCAATTTAAAGGCAACATGCTAGCTTAATATACACAAAATAAAAGCTTCCCAACAAGGCTGTGTCCTAACAGAAAGGTTAACATGGTAGAAACACAGCGGTTAGTCTCTTGATGTGGTTGTCTTGGAGATGATCGAGGAGCCTGTCCGTGACGACTTCATTCTCAGTTCAGTCAGTAACGTAATGAACCTCCCTCAGCGTCTGAGCTGAGTCTCAACTGAAAAGTCTTTAAATCAGGATAAAAAGCAAACAGTTGAAATATGTTTCTACGTGAGGCCAGCAGACGGGGGTCCCTCGCTGTGTGGGACCATTTTTTAAAGTCGCTATTTTCTGATGAATCACTTTTATTTTCACTTTCTGTTGGGCTTAGGTTATTTGCTGCAGCATGAGAATTAAAATGAGTCCCTGTACTTTGTCTCCATCGGATATACGATTGGCTGCCTGAAGGCTCAAAGTTCACAGAGTTCACTTTAACGCAGTAATGAGGTCAGACAGTGGCGAGGCTGTGCTGAGGACGTCCTCACAGTTACCGCCCTGTGAAACACCTCTGATGCTCAGATCGTACAAAGACCGGAGACCCATCAGCAGCCCTGCTGAGCACGCAGCTCGCTTGCGTTGTGATTGATGTTCGACTGTAATAAAGACACGATTCATTCAAATAATCGACTCAGGATAGAGTTTACTCCTTCTGTCTCCACTTAGTGCTTAATAACTTCTTACAGAACCTCGTTAGAGGCGTCGCATGAATAAGACATAAACTGCATGAGCTTCATTTGGACCAAATCTGAGTCTCAAACATTTGGTCTGCTAATCAGATCTCAGGCTCATGTTTGAAGCTGGAATAAAAACCAAAGGTGGAGATGGAAGAAGCTTTTATTGGCTGCAGACAGAGCGCTCTAAACC